TTGAAAACATTGACAAGAAAAAATACTCTTGATTCAATCGGATTTTTGCTTGAATCAAAACGAAATCCGCTTAAATTAAGAGGCTTGAACCTTGATTTAAGCTAGATTCTGATTGAATCAAGAGTACTTTTTCTTGTCGATGTTCTTAACAGTCTGGACTCTAGATCCAATGTGCTTTTATCCAGTGTACCGAGGATTCATAGTCAATCTCTGTTGTATCAGTGTACATATCTTCACCATCTGGCCGAAGTATTACAAGCGACATGTGACGTTTCAAAATTTCCGCCATCATTTCTTTTAGAGAGAAATTGTTGGTTGAATGTGTTTGAAAATTTTACTGAATTTCATCGGAAGCCCAGAGAAAATTCAGTAACATTTTCGGACATCTTCGTTGAACAATTTCTCCCTAAAAAATAAAATGGCGGCGAAAATTCTGAAACATTTCATGGCGCTTATGATACTTTGGCCGGAGGAAGAGGATATGAGGCTGAGCGCTTCTTTCTTCATATTTTTTCCTCCTTTTTTGGGCCAACTTAAGTATCCGTCCTTCTTCTTTCCTTCGTCCGTTCCTTTTTCATTTCTTCCTTCTCCCTTTCTCCTTTTTTGGGGGGCGAAGGAGGGGGCATACACCCCCTACGCCCTCCTCGATCCGTCTACGTCTCTGTCTCTCCGGTTACAGTGCATCCAATTACCTCTGGTAAACACTGAAATGATCTCAATCCGACAACGGGCAAACATTCGAATTCGTCGGGTTTTCCTCGGCGTCGGCGTGAGAGCCGGGCGTCCGGAGGGATCGGCCCCGGCCCTAAACTGCGTTTACACGCCTGGGCAACTCGCCTAACTCGACACCGCAAAAACTCCGCGGTCGCCGCCGCACAATGGATCAAGTCAATAGGAGAGGTCGGACAAATTCCGGAAACTTCAAAAGCTTATAACTCCGTTTATACAAAACCTTGAGGTTTTAAAAGTGGTTCCATTGGTTTCTTCGTGAAATTTTCTTTCAAAAGCACTCCTAATAGTTGAAATTATGACGAAATAATCGTCAAAATTTGCAGTTTTAGTCAAAAATTTCATGTCTAATTGACTCGGTCCACTGTGCGCCGCCGCCGCCGGAGCCGGATCAGCGTGGCTCGGGAAACGCGGAGCGCCCGGAATCGGGCCCCGGCTCGGTGGCTCCGCCGGAACTTGACCTTAACTTCCTCGAGCGTGGTTTCCGGCCCCGGGATACACCCAGCGCGGGGAACTTTTTGCCACCGCAGCTCACCTTCGATTCGACCCGGCTCCACCTTGAGTTCGTCTCCGAATTATTGGTACGTGTGATGGCCACCAAAAACCCCGAAAAGGGGTAAAAATCCCGTCAAGGAGCCGCTCATATATAACGTAATTCACATTTACCGATTTTTTACCCCCCCCCTCTCCTCCTCCCTTGTGCATTCTCCTACACGTACACTGCTGCGCTAAGCAAGAACGCTGTAAATCCATCAGGATTTTCCCTCGTTTTTTGGAACTTAATCTCTTTATAAAATAAAAACTGCACTGGAAAAAAACCACATTGGATCTAGAGCCAAGACTCTTAAACACATCGACAAGAAAAAGTGCTCTTGATTCAATCAGATTTAAGGTGATTCGATGGACGCCATATTTTGTGTCAGAACGGCATGCGATATATCGCATAAATTGGTTCCATTTTTTCAGCTACTCGTCATTTTTCTCCAATTTTGAGATCGCAATTCTGTTGTCAGGAGACTAAAGCACTCACTTACCAATTTTAACGAAGAAATTCAACATAATAAAGGCGTGGTTTTTTTAGAGAGAAAATATCGCATTCGAGTGCAGTTTCGATATCAGTATCGAATGTATCGAATATCGATGTTTTCTCTCTAAAAAAAACCACGCCTTTATTACGTTGAATTTCTTTGTTAAAATTGGTAAGTGAGTGCTTTAGTCTGCTGACAACAGAATTGCGATCTCAAAATTGGAGAAAAATGACGAGTAGCTCGAAAAATGGAACCAATCGATGCGATACATCGCATCCCATTCTGACACAAAAAATGGCGTCCATCGAATCACCTTAAGCTTAAATCAAGAACCAAGCCTCCTAATTTGAGCGGATTTCCTTTTGATTTAAGCTTAATTATATCTGATTGAATCATGAGTCCTTTTGCTTGTCAATGTTTTTAAGAGTCTGGACTCTAGATCCAACGTGTTTTTTTCCAGTGTATCGTTACTCTATCTTTTTACGGAGACATTTTTCAACGAAGCTGTCCGAAAATTTCACTGAATTATCTGTGTGCTGCCGATAAAATTTCGTGATATTTTCAAACAGATTCAACCAACAACTTTTCTGTAAGATCTAGAGCCAAGACTCTTAAACACATCGACAAGAAAAAGTACTCTTGAATTAATCAGAATCTAGCTTAAATCAAGAACCAAGCCTCTTAATTTCAGCAGATTTCCTTTTGATTTAAGCTTAAATCTGATTGAATCAAGAGTATTTTTTCTTGTCAATGTTTTCAAGAGTCTGGACTCTAGATCCAATGTGTTTTTTTTTCCCAGTGAGGTTTCCTTGTAACATTTGCTTTCAGGAACACCTCTTGGAATTTAAAATGTGACAAAATGTACATCAAAATTTGCACTTTTAGTCAATTTCATGACCGGAGTCTTTGATTGACTCGATTCACTGTATCCCGGCGCAAAATTCTACATACTGTTCGCCACAAAAGCAGTGATGATTTGTTATTAGCGAAGGAAAATGGAGCTCTTGCTTGTGTGAGGGATTTGCAATTTAGGTACTGATTTCCACGTAGAATTTCGCGAGAACTACGATGGTGCCATCGGTTTTTTTCTAAAATCAACTCCAAAGCTTAAGAAAAGCTCTCAAAATTATTATTATTGGTACTCAATGTATATTAAGCACTCTGCGCTATCCTCTAAATTTTTTTTCAATATCAGGAAGTTGATTGGAGGTCACTCCCTCTGGACACGTATCGCATTTTTCCCATTAAAGCAGCGCATGTTGATGTACGTACACTTTATCAAAAATAAATTCACTGCACTCGGCGGCGCGTTGCAAATGAGCCTATTTTTATGAGGCGGAAGGGGATTGCTCGGAGGGCATCAATGCAATATTGAGCAGGGTTTCGGCGGGAAAGTGAGGAAAGCTCACTTCTCAAGGAGGCCAACTTTCCGAAGGGGATTCGAGCTCCCGGTAATGGCACCAAAAGTCATCAATGCAATATTAAGCAGATTTGTACGTCGGCCCCAGGGCCCGCGGTAGTGGGGGGTGGAGAAGTGGGGAGGGGAAAAAAATACAACCTGACAAGTGGTTTCCGGAGCGAGAGATAGGGGACAAGATTCCGGGCCTGACATTTTATGAATACAAATGAGGCTATAAGTTATTAGTGTCTTCCGATTAAGTTTACTTGTTTATTGCCGGGAAATAATGAGTAAGAGGGGGAGGGGGGCCCGCCGCGGAAATAAAAGTTGGATTCGCGCTTCGCTTCACTTCGGCTCCGGAAAAAACCCCTAATTTCCTGCTCTGATGTCAAATTAGGTTCGAGAATCCTGTCATCGGACGAGGGAAGAGACACGGTGCAATGGACCTCGAATTGTCGGTTCTCCCCGCAAAAGAACAATTTCATTTTTTTTTTTTTTTCTTTTTTTTTTTTGAACACATAAATTTATTATGATTTTTACATGCACTGGAAAAAAAACACATTGGATCTAGAGTCCAGATTCTTAAAAACATCGACAACAAAAAATACTCTTGATTCACTCGGATTTTTGCTTAGATCAAGAACGAAGCCTCTTAATTTGAGCAGATTTCCTTTTGATTGAAGCTTAAAGTGACTGAGTTAAGCAGAAAGGAACCAACTCAAATTTTGGAAAAAAAATTGAGTTATGAGTGGTTTTGAACTTAACCACTGCTCTACTATCCATCACCAAAAATTCAAAGTTTTTGTAGGAGCAAATTTTGCAGAAATTGAACTTGAAGTTTCTTTTACATCGAGTCTTATGCAGGAGCCAACCTTTAAACCTCTTTTTCTTGGTTCGATCCCGATGTGGCTTGGTTCCTTTCTGTTTAACTCCGTCCAAATCTGATTGAATCAAGACTATTTTTTCTTGTCAAGTTTTCAAGAGTCCGGACTCTAGATCCAATGTCTTTTTTCTCCAGTGTGGTGGAAGCCATGCTTTACAGAACATATCCCGAAGGCCTTGTTTACATACTAATTTATTGAAGCCTGACTTAAGTTTACATCTACTTTTATTATCATTAAATTCCCCATGTAGTTTCCCTTTATAGAGTTACTTAATGTCTAAATTGGTGCTTGAAGTTCCTCAGTCTTCTAGTCTTTTAGTCTTCATTGTTCTCCTCGGGAAAATTTCATCTTGCAAATTGAAAATTTAACTGTAGAATCTCGGGCGACTCCAACTGAAAATTTTACTTTTTGTTTATCTGATATCATGCAAAACTCGGATAAATTCTGGGCAATATTTGCTCAGGCCCATTCTTGTAAAAAATCGATTTTTTTACTAAATGTTGGAACCGTGGAATGGCGTTACGTTTCTTTGTCCAGAAAACGACCAAATGGACTATATTTTGCAATATAGAAGCACTATATGGACTGCATATAGCATCAGAAACGAACCGGGTCTTATCAGCCGTTGCCAAAAACTGGGCAATTCAATTTTTTACAAGAGAACGTTTGTGCGGGTTAATTTGGAAATTATGAGGAACTTGCTTTGTACTATACAGAAAGTTAGCTGAAATTTGCACGAATATACATACACCCGTTATCATGTCAAAAATTTAAATGTCCAATTGAATTTGGCAATAGCTGATGTGGCTTGGTTCCCTTCTGCTTGATGTGGTCCATTTTATCCATATTCATTATCCAAGAAAAGCCTGTTCAATCAACATATGTAGATGAACCCCTTATCGAGGATACGACGTATTGATGCTGCAAGGACTATGTGGGAATAGAATTAAACAAAAATAATTAAGGAAAGACATAGTTCTTTTCGAGTTATTTCATTTGAATGTCTCTATGCAAAAAATAATTATTAAAAAAATAAAGTTAATCAATGTGAATTAAAGATGCATACGGGTCTTGTAACCCCCAGTTTCTTTTGATTTCGTACATTTGCACATTATTTTTTAGCACCAATACATTCTTTTGCACAAAGTTTAATTTTGGGCAAACATGCCCGATAAATTGTACGTTAACTCATCTTAATTAAATCAAAAATTAAAAACCCGAAAAAGCCGTCTAGGCGATTGAGTAAAATGTTAGGAGTGGATGGATTCAGACATAATTGAGCCTAAATTAGAGAAACAACACACACATTTTATAGATCCAATACAGGGTGTTCCAAAAGTCCCGCTCTCTCCTCTAACTTTTGAACCGTTTAATATGAAAAAACAAAACTTCGCGGGCGTTTCTATCCCCCTCCCTAAAGAACCCCTATAATAGAAGAGGTCCCCTATGAATGCAAACTTCCCCAAAGTTTCATTTTTTAATCTCGAACGGTTCAAAAATTAGAGGAGGAAGAGTTGGACTTTTGGAACACACAATAGTTAATAGTTTCAAAACTTTAGACTATACTTAAAACTATGTTATCTAAACTTATGATAACTAAACTTTAAACTATTTACTTTTTAAATAAATCACCTCGCACTCCTCATCCAATTATGTGTTAGACAGTTTGGTCACTGATTCGGTATTAGGCTTCTCACTGTTGAACGAGAATACACCCGAAAATCTTTTATGCGCAGGTTCATAATTGATACCAACTAAAATCCGATTTTTGGCTTCAGACACCCGCTGACCGGCATCATGCTCATCCACTAGTCGTTGAAATACACTCAGTGCAGAGCTATTGACCTGGACCTCCAGCACAACCCCTGACTCGCTCATAGGAAGCAGAAAATTCAACCCTCCTACAAGAGGCTCCTGTACATCTTCTCCTCGAACACTGGTATAATTAATAGCCTGGTGCACACTGAAGGTCCGAACCAACACCAAAAACAAAACCCCTCGAATTTTCGACGCTTCTACGTCCCCCACACTTTTGAACAACGTCTGCACCGAATCCATAAAATTCTGGAACCGACTCGCGCTGTCACTCAATTTAAAGAACGTGTATTGCAGAGCCTTCATGTCGTCCTCTTGAAGGTTAAACTCGTTTTTGACCGCCTTTGTCATTTCCTGAAGTAAGCTTTCAAAGGCTTCCACGTTAGGGGTCTTGAGCTCAACCCACCCTTTGGCAACCCCACGTTTCGTAGTAAAGCACCCCAAATCGTGCATGTACTCGGTAAGTCTCTGGACGTTCTCTCGCGAATAGTTCTTCCACGTTGTGTTGATCGCCGAAAGAGGCAGGAAATTATCGTTCAGGTCCATGAGGTTAAGAAGACCGATCTTATTGGACAAATATGTGGTGACATTTTCCCCCACAAAAACACGAAGGATCTCCAGACCGGCGTGATCGAATCTCAAGGCGTGCGAGAAACCCTTGTGATCTAAATCCCGCGGTGCCACAAGATCATCTTTTTTTATGCTTTCGATTGTTAAATTAGTATTGAGCACGAGATTTGGGCTATTTTGGACGGCGTAGCCACCGAAAAAATGTTTTAGCATCTTGAGGCTAATATTCGATGACGCGTGGATCTGTAGGAGGTTTTCGACGTTCGCTTCGGTTAGCGCGAAAGCCGACGCAATTCGGGCATTCTCCGTGAACCGGATGTAGCTAATTACTTCAGCGCGGTGGGCGTAAATATTGCCATGCCGCGTGCGACCAGTTAAGAACCCGGCGGCCAGAAAGTTTTTTAAATTAAGGAACAAGCTCGCGATAAAGTCGCACATTGTCTCGTGGGTCTTCAAGATTTCGTACTCCACCGCTTTCCAGTCGCTCACCAGCCATTTAGAGACCGGTGCGTCGAAAGCATCGATGAGCACCATGATTTTTCGCTGTTCGAAATGGTGGAATATAGTTTTCGTTAGGTTACTTGTTCCTATAATCAGACTCGTTCGGAATTTTCGCTCGTCTTTTATGTTTGTAAAATTGCCGGTCAGGATCTCGGAGGCGTACTTGTGGAGCTTCATGGTTGAATTTAAAAGGATCCTATATTTTTCGAAGGTTTTCTGGAGTTCGGATCGAAGGGATATTAAAAATTGCATATGAGTTTCGACGGTGAGGTTGCTAAAGTCGAGTTTGAGGACGGGGTATTTTCCGAAGTGTTCGTTGAAGGCCCTGGAATTTGCGATGTCTAGTTTGAGTTGTCTGTTGCCCCTATTGTAGACGTTGGTGAATACACCGTAATTTCTGTGCTCTTTCTGATTGGCTACCGGCGTCCCGTTGGGATACGTATGCACGTCGTAGAATTGCTCCATCATACTGATTAGGGTCGACTTTCCGAACTGTCTTGGCGCCGTTATGTAAACCGGCTGGGAATATACGGCCATGAAATATTCTAAAAATATCGATCTGTCGATGTATTCTTCTTTTGCCACAATATCGTGGAATGCACTCGTACCGACCTGTAAAAAGAAACGGTAGTAGAGTGAGACAGCTCGGTAGATTCATTTGAATAAAAAATCAAATAAACATAAATATGTGGAGGATCCTTTCACGAATAATTCACAACGGAAAATCAGCAGGATTTTTTTGCCATTTTTTAAGTTTGAAGACTGTGAAATCCAGGGCATTTTCAAAAAGTGGCCCAGACTCTCATTTTGAAACACTGCAGTAATCGTACGTAGTTGAAACATTTTAAAGAGATTTTAGTGTAAAGAGAACATAATGATTTTTTTTTTTTTTTTTTTTTTTTTTTTTAAAGAAATTTTATTTAAATATATCGTAACTACTACAAGTGTTTCTTGTATCTATCTACGTGGCTTAAAACTAAAACTTAACAAACTGCATTAATTTTATATGTTAACGTTAGATAATACTATGATTAACATAATGATCAAAAAGTTTAGTGCAAAAAGTTACTTCTTAAAATATTGATAACTAAAAGTAGGCGAAAGTACATTTTGTTTGATTCCCGTTTCATTTGAAGATAAAATATTTTTCACCGATCGCATTGAATAAATTGCTGCGACGAACATTAAAGCCCTAAACTTTAACTTACTCTTAGAGCTGGAAAAAGTAGCAGTAATATCACGGGGAAAATACTGATGCATCCTAAAGGGTTTTGCATATCTTATGATAATCAGTGGTTACTTTGAGATAAAACTGAATTCGGTTGACTCTCGCAAAATTTTCCATGAAATAAAATTAATCACTTAGAATAATTAATTTGCGGGTAATATTACGAAACATATTGAGTATAATGCAAACTTTCAAAATATTCCGCAATAAAACGGTAAAAGTACCAAACAATCCCAAAAAACGCACAAGTGCTGCCAGCGCCGCGTGCCAGGCACGGGCCGGAATGGAAAGAACAATGGTTATCAGTGTTGTTACAGTACATACATGTGTGATGACGTCATATACCTTGGTTTACAACGTAGAAAGCTGTGATTGGTTAAACAGGAAAATACGACGTCATGGAACATATGACAACAGAGCGTTGATGATCAAATGGACCATCAGCAGTTGATAACCCCACAGTGATAATGGGAGAAAAATTCGACTTTAAAAAAGGTCGGCTATATTCTATTATGTCCGCATTCTTTGGTTGGTTCGTGCAACCATTTACGTGACTGAACTTTCAAAACAAATTATAAAGTAAAAAAAAGTTCGATGGCATTACATTTACAATATTTTTTAATGAACGTTGTTACGTTCCTTCGTGAGGGAAACGACAATTGGACTACATTTTGCAATTTGGAACTGTAAATCCTAGCCCGGTTTAAAAACAACGTATGTGCCATTAGTTTCCCAATGCACATAAGTGTTTTTCCAGAAGAGTCAGAATTTATAGTTCCAAATTGCAAAATGCAGTCCAATTAGTCCAGGGTAAGGCCAAAAAAGAAAGGACAGGTACTGAGTTACAATAAGAGACTCAAAAGAGGGGGATAAATGTCCTATGGACTCTTTTTTTACCGATCCTGACAGTTCTAATCGCACTATTCCTAAAAAGTCATTCCACATGAACGTTAAATGCAGTTCGGTTGAAAAGGCTGCTTATAGGAGAAAAATGAGGCTCCGAATTTTTCAACCACAAGTTGCATTTATATACGCCATTCGAGCCACTATACCCAGCTTTCAAAACATAGGTATCCTTTTTTTTTTTTCATTTTTTCTTTCCGATCCACCCAAAACCCTCAACCAAACAGCTCCTCTCATATGCGGCCAAGAAACTCATTTCAATGAAACCTCCCTCGTTTTCCCCGAGTCAATCCGACAAACATCGTCGGCTCCTCATTAAATCGGGAACCGACAGTGACAAAAGTCCGCAACAAGCTCGCTCTAAAATGTAAATTAGCAGTGTTGAAGGACAAAGATGCTCGAAAATGATGCACGCTGACTGAAAGAAACATGATTGAAAAGCCAGACAAAGGTGCCCCGGACCCCGGGTGAAAAAGCGAAAAAGCGCGAGTGGGGAGGGGCCCTGATAAGAGCACAAAGGGCGGGTGAATGCGGAGCTGAAGTGTGCGTGACTCGCCGTACAGTGAAACCCATCGGCAAAGGTCGAACATGAAGTTGCTGCCGAGACTGAACTTTTTGACTTTTATTCCGGTGATATTTAAATTTTAAGACGTACCATGTTTCCTCACTGGAAAAAAAGAAAAAAAAAAACATTGGATCTAGAGTCCAGACTCTTAAAAACATCGACAAGAAAAAGTACTCATGATTCAATCAGAATCTAGCTTAGATCAAGATCCATGCTTCTTAACTTAAAAGGATTTCGTTTTGATTCAAGCAAAAATCTGATTGAATCAAGAGTATTTTTTCTTGTCAATGTTTTCAAGAGTCTGGACTCTAGATCCAATGTGTTTTTTTTTTTTCAGTGTAGAGAAAACTTTATGAAAAAATAAATAAATAAAAATAGAGAGACTTTTAAATCTCAGCGGGCTGATTGTTGAAATTGATAGACAATGAAGACTTCATCGCCTTCCGCACGAAGTATTGCAAGTGTCCTGCGAAATTTCAAAATTTCCACCGTTATTTTATCTTTTCACGGAGAAATTTTTTCAACGAAGCTGTCCAAAAATTTCGCTCAATTATCTTTGTGCTGCCGATAAAATTTGGTGAAATTCTCAAACAGATTCAACCAACAATGCCTCTGTAAAAAATAAAATGGCGGCGGAAGCTTCGAAGCTTCGCATCGTGTTTGTGTTACTTTGGCCGGTAAGTGACGACTAAGGGAGTATGGAGCGATCCTATTGGTTGAAGTTGGTGATTCCTACAGACCAAGGGGGTAAGGATGGACTAACCATAGGGTCTCTCGTGGGTTGCCGTTAGCTAGTATATTACCTATCTTTTGTATCTTTTCTTTATTTTATATCTTGCATGGTTCAAAAGCAGTGTTCAAAACTCACCTTTGAGTTTTAGGAGCCAAATGGCGCATCAAGCCCGATTTTCAGGCGCCATTGAAGATTTTTTAGGGGGCAAAATTGACTTTTTGCCAATATATTACGTCGCATTTAGTGAAAAGTTAGATGCAAGATGTTTTCGTAACAGAACTAGTAAGTAGCTGTAACTTGAGGAAGACAAAAGCACAAAGGATAAAGTCGTGAAGAATAGAAGAAGCTTATACTTGTAGCGCTGAAAATTTCGAATAACCACCTGACATGAAAATTCAGATTTTTAAGGGGCAATTTTTCGTGGCCACGTTGGCCCAGACCCCTCATCTTTTAGGCGCCTTGGCCAATTTTTTAGGCGCATTTGGCGCGTTGGCGCCTGAGAGTTTCACACATTGTTCAAAAGATAGCATGGCAGCAGGACTATCTGAACACCCTGTATATTTTTTTAACCTCATGTCCAACCCTCCACGTCGACTGGATCCACAGTGCGGCGTTGTCTGCAATATTCAGGAGATGGAAAGTTTTAAAGGTTTACTTATTCAGCGTTTCAGCAACAAGTAAGTCCCTCGGATAAGTGTCACTTTGAAGGAGGACCGAGGGAACTCAGGGTGGCTACGTTTCGCGCGGCCTCGGAGCTTTTCATTCCTCGCCGGCGAAAAAAAGAAGAAAAAAAAATACACGGCGATACTGTCTCGTTTATTATTTATTTTACCGGATTCCGCGTGGCTTAATTTAATTTGCGACCCGCTCGCCGAAGAGCTCTTTCCGACAGGCGAGATTAAACGACTCTAATCAGCTTAATGAGCCTGCTAATCGGTCGCGCGGGGTGAGGGGTTTTTGAATCTGTAGTTCCGTATTTTGAAGTGAACTGGAGAGCCTACTTTGTTAAATTCATCAATTTTCTGTTATTCAATATTGGGGAAGTCAATTTGCACGCAAATTGAGTCATGGGCGACTCTCACCCAGAGGTAATCAACGTACTTCACTTGAAGTCATTTTAGAGTTATTTATGGTCAATTGGACTGCAATTCAGGAGACTGCGCTGAACATATGGATTACATTTTGCAATACGGAACCACTATTTCTGGCCCATTTTAGAAACAACATACATGCCACTGGTTTCCCTATGCAGATATGTGCTTTTATGGGAGAGCCACACTGGAAAAAAAGCACACTGGATCTAGAGTCCAGACTCTTATAAACATCGACAAGAAAAAACAAGCAGTGAACTCCAACACAATGTGTTGATAAGGCGCGTCATTAACTCGCACATATCAACCCCTTTAGTTTTCATTTACAGAGATTTCAAAATAGGCAAACAGCATAAAAAGAGAATTCACGATCCAACACTGCGAGGTCAAAGACGCACCTTGACGAGACCGTGTATTGTGAAAGTAGAAAGCTATTCGATCGAATTTAAGTTTTTTGATCTGCCTCAAGCAAAATCTTATCAGATTCTTGAAGAAAAGTGCTACGGAATAATTTAAGCGAAGAAAGGAAAAATTCTGTCGAACTCCTAGAAGATAAAGTCGATTTAAAGGTATTTTGGGGCTAAAATACCCAAATCACCGGTAGTAAAAATCCCGTTATATTATTGAAAAGAAATTGACTCGATATAAATGCAATTGCATTAAATACGTCTTGATTTTGTTATTTTAAACGTCTTTCCATGCAAAGAAGTTCAACCATGTCGTTGCTTTATTCATTCATGAATTGAAAGTAAGCAATCTACATCCCGAAAATCTACTGATTTGCCGTAAAAAATTGCAGAAACTTGATATACCAGGTCGATGCACCCACTCGTTGAATTTACCAACCAATTTTGTGAGTGCA